CAATTTTAAATCAGATATTACCAAAAAATTTGAATACTTTAACTACTTATACTGAAATCTTTTTTTCTGATAGTTCATTAAGAACTCTAGAGAGTAATTGGAAAGGACCCAAACCTTTTACAATAAAATTACGTAGGTATGTAAAAAGAGAAAATTTAGAAAGTTTATTAAAAAAATATCAAGTTATAGGATTTTTAAATTATCATTTCATCTAAATGAATTGTTTATATTCATTTTATATGTATAACATGGTGTTTTTTTTATCAAATAATAATATTACAAAAAAAATTTTTTATTAGCTAATAAATGTTTATTATTATTACACTTAATGGAATAATAACAATAATATTAATTAAGATTTGAGAAAATATATTTAATACAAACTATTTTATATGTGGGCCAATTTTTGTCAGCTATTTTTAAAGTGTTTCAAAATGATGTTTTCTTTGGAAATTGTTCAAAAAATGGTTATTGCGGCCTTTTTTGAAGAAAAAACCCAAGCTTAGACTTAATTTTGGTAATGGATGATCAATTTTTTTATTGGTTTGAGTATCACTACCCAATTTCTTTCTTCTTCCTTGACCCATAATGGTTGTAGAGATGATTTGCCTTGTATTTTGACTTCTTTATTAATTGGTCTTGACCAGATTTACCAACTTGATTAGCATTGCAATTCAGCACTAACTATTACTGCCTTTTCCTCTCTACCTTTAGTATATATGTATATATATATATATTGTATTATTTATTTTAAATAAATAAATAATAAAATTATTTATTGTGTAGATATTCATAATTCTTCTTACAATAATTGATAAAAAAAATTGAATTCACTACATCTTTATTACCAAAAAATCAATTTCTATAGAAAAATTTGAATGAATTGTGTTAAAATCGATTAATATCAGACAGACAAGTTATTGAATTCATTCATAATAATAAATTTTAAATGTTACCTTTATATATATATATTATATTTATATAAAAACAAAAAAACTTACTAAGTAAACTGCTCTGAGAAAAACATTTGATGACTTATTATGTTTTATAGTTGTACGAACTGTTTATTGCAATTAAATTTGTGTAGCACATAAATGTAAAAAAAAAAAAAAAATGCTTATAACAACTTTACCACAGGAAATTTTCATTGAAATATTTAAATACATTGAAGATGATAACAAAACATTATATTCTTGTGTTCTTGTCAATAAAAAATGGCATAATATCAATATTCCAACTTTATGGAGAAACCCATTTATTTCTAAAAACAGCATCAAAATATTAATTAATTGCTTACTAGAAGAAGACAAAAATTTCTTGGTGGAAAATAATATTGTAATAGAAGATTTTGAATTATTGGAAAAATCACCATTATACAATTATGCTAAATTTATAACTGAATTAGATTTTGATGAATTCAATGGATGGTTGGAAGATTTATGTGATTTATATAGTTCAGAATATTTTCAATTAAAAACAAGGTTGGAAAATTTTATTTTTGATCATTCAAATATCAGAAAGCTTACAATATTGAATAATGAAGAATTGTTGGATCATCATAGATTTGATACCTGTTTTCAAAACCTTCATGAATTATATTGCAGTATTCACTTTAGTTCTGAATTTATTGATAAATTGGCAACTACTTGTAAAAATATTCAAGTTTTAAATATAGATTATATTTTTGATCCCGATTATTCTGAATTTTTTAATCTGAATGCATTAATTAAATTAATTAAAGCACAAAATCAAATTAAACAATTATTTATTGAGTCAGTAAATGATTTATTTGTACCAAATTCAGATGATTTAAAAAATGCAATCATAATTCATTCAAAATCAATAGTTGATTATGTAGGTTATGGAGATCATAATTTAAATTCTATAATTCCAACATTTCAAAATTTGAAGTCTTTAACATTATATGAATACTCCTCAAATATCAAATTAATGCAATTAAAATCTGTTCTATTTCCAAATATTGAATATTTTTATTTGTGTAACCATGGTCCATTTCTTTTAGACCTGTCAGAATTTATAAAAATCAATGGTAAAACTCTTAAATCTTTGGTAATTCGTGGTGTTCCAACTGATGAAGAATATTTAGGAAAGCTTAATCAATCAATTGGACAAAATTGTAACAATTTAGAATATTTGAAAATGCTTTACAAAAATGAACTAGATCAAGAACTAATTCCTATAATTAGTAAATGTACCAAATTAAAAAGTCTAAAGTTAGATGCTATTAATAGAGATGTAATAGATGGTGATAAAGTGTTGGCAATTTTAAATCAGATATTACCAAAAAATTTGAATACTTTAACTACTTATACTGAAATCTTTTTTTCTGATAGTTCACTGAGAACTCTAGAGAGTGATTGGAAAGGACCCAAACCTTTTACAATAAAGTTGTCTAGGTATGAAAGAAGAGAAAAATTAGAAGGTTTATTAAAAAAATATCAAGATATAGGATTTTTAAATTACCATTTTTTCTAAATGAATTGTTTTATTATTATATTCATTTTATATACAGTATATATAGTATGGTGTTTTTTTTTAATCAAATGACATTACAAAAAAAATCTTTTCATCAGCTATTATTATTACTATGAATTCTTTTTACATTCAATGGAACAAATACTAGCAATAGCAAATATAAATTTTATTTTATATGTGGGCAATTTTGTCAGTTATTTTTCAAAGTGTTTCAAATGATGTTTTCTTTGAAAATTATTCAATAAAAAGTGGTTTTTGCAATCTTTTTTGAAGGAAAAAACAAGTTTAGAGAGTTATAATGGCTTAAAATTTTTGGTGAAATCTCTATAGTGGATGACAATTATTACATGAGCATTTTATTAGTTTTGTCAAATTTCTGAGTATCACCACCAATTTTTCCTTCCTTCCTTGATCCTTGGTGATTGTAGAGATGATTTGCCTTGTACTTTGATTACTATTGCAATTCAGCACCAATTGTTACTGCCTTTTCCCTCTACCTTTAGTATATGTGTATTATTTTATTTTAAATAAATAAATTTATTGTATAAATTTTTCATTATTCTTCTTACAATAAAAAATTGAATTCATTATATCTTTATTATCAAAAAACCAATTTCTGTAAAAGAAATTTGAATGAGTTGTGTTATGCCTGTTCAAATTTGCTGATGATGGAGATGCCATCAAGGGCATATTTGGCATTCAGTTTTGAATACAATAAAAAATCGTAATTCATGGTGTCCTCAATGTGCAGGATGTTCTATACTTAATATTAATATTGCTAAAGAAATTGTGCTTAAAAAAGGTGGAAAATGATTATCAGAAAAATATATAGATATAGATTCTTTGCTTTATGGGAATGTTAACGAAGGCCATCAATGGTATACAAGTCTTAAATGTGTAAGAAATTTGGACACATCGTGTCCTCACTGTTCAGGTAATGCAAAAATTTCCATTGAAGAAGCTAGAAAAATCGCGACTAAAAATAAAGGATTATGTCTTTCTGAAACGTATAATGGTGCACATACAAAATTAAAATGGCAGTGTGAAAAAAAGCATGAATGGTATGCAACCGTGGATAAAGTAAAAAATTTAGATAAACGGTGTCCATTTTGTCCATATAAGAGACAAGAACTCTGCAAGGAAATAGTGATGAAATTATTAGGCCCACCATCTGATATACGTAGACCATATTTCTTAAAAACTCCTGATCATCCGTTAGGGCTTGAACTTGATGTATACTATCCACGGTACGATTTTGCTGTCGAAGTTCAAGGTATACAACATGAATGCTTCCATGCTTTCTTTCACAAAAACCAAAAGGATTTTGAAAAGCAGTTTGCACGGGATCAGCTAAAAAAAGAACATTGTGATAAAAATCGGATATTACTTATCAAAGTATGGTATTATGAAGACCTTTATTTAGTGATCCCTCGAAGACTTAAAGATCTTGGTCTTATTTCTTAATTGGTACTGTTCAATCCTTGGACAATTGACAATTTGTGATTTTCTATTTTGGAATTTTTTTCGATGGTCATGTGATTATTTTGCGTAACTTTGTGATTACGTAACCCTTAACACTTAAATGATGAAAAATACAGATCAAACGACAATAACTTTTTCAAAATGATTAATCGAATTATGTCCATAGATAAAAATTTTCAGGGAGTAAAAAATTCTCTAAGAGAGAGAAGGTAAGTAAACATCACACAGAAGTTATTAAGTTACACCCAGTATTGACACGTATGATAGTTTGCCTATACAGATAGGCTGGAATTTGTCTGTGAAAAAAATTGATAATTTCTTTGAGCGACACGATACACGCGGATATAAATTTGATATTGATTCAAAGGGAAACGTATTTATAGTCGAGATGGAATCAGACGAACATACATTTGTTGTTGTACGGCTTCAAGAATATTTTAAGGTTCCTAACGGAGGTGTCGTCGATGATCCTCCAATAGATGTTGTGGGTGCTTCAGGTAAGAAAGATTACTTTGGGTAGCTTGCAAAATTGAAATACATTTCTTTTGAAAAAATAAGCATGCCTAGGCTTTTACAATCTTCTCAAATTCTATAATAGCTCACTATCAACCAAATGGAGGAGGATTACCATCAGCACCTGATGTTGCAATATTTCCAAGTTTGAACATTATTTCACCATTTCCAGCTCCGGCCCCGGCTCCACGACGTACACGACGTCAATCGTTACGACCAAGAAGAAGAACTTCCCGACATAATGAGATTCCTCCAGTTACTAGAACGGTTGGTTCTGTGCATATTAGATTTATTTCCTATTTTTTCTTAGTCTTATCATAAATTTAATTATATAGGGAAGACCTCATGCAAGGATCATGTGTGAAGTTGCTGTGTCTCAAGGTTTAATTAATTTGGAAGAAAAATGTGAGCGCTGGATGCTACAGGAATACGTAAGATGCGTATTTGCAATTAAAATTTTTGACAAAGATCCTACACGAATTGTGGCAACTAATCAATTTAATCGGCGTATGATTGTGTGTATTATGGTCTATATATTTATTATTCAATAATTCAATTTTTTTCTAATTCTAATACTTCCAATACCAGGCCAGACTTTATACACGACAAACAACACCGTCGCCAAATCATGTAGCAATAATTGGACAACCAGGAGTATATTTTGAAGAGGTAATATTAGCACACTGCACACCATTTGTATTTTTTACAATCAATTTAAAGGTATTTTTGGCAAATATTATAGTGGGAATTTGGTACTCTTGATGTTAATGGTAATGCTACTGCTTGCAATGGACTAGGTCTTCCTGCTTATCAAATTAATATTCCGGTACAAGAAGTATTCTGGAACCCACCTATTGTTGGCGGAATTCCTTCTACAGCTGGGTATGTCATCACAATTCCTCCTGGACTTACTGCTAATAATTTTGTTATAGATCTATATCAGATTCAACAGGTGGTCTTACGAAATCAAAGTAATTGAGCATATGTACAATGAATTATTGATCAATAAATACTTAATGGTTAAGGGAAAAAACTGCATTAGATGGCAATTTTTTTAATACATCCAAGGAACTTTATTGTAGTATTTTTTGATATACAGAATATAGCTTATATTAAAAAATTTGTATTATGCATAACAATCATATAATATAATAAAAAAACTAAGAATGATTATTTAATGCTACTACCCAATATGTTTTCAAATATTTGACTTACCTCCACTTGATGTAAGATTTGTTCGAAAACTTCACTTAAATAATCATCAATTTCAGATCGATCATAAACTATAATTTGTTTGTAGTATTTTTCTTTTCATTTTCAGGCTTAACATCTAAAATAAATTTTGTAAGTGAACATAATGCGAATTTGAATTGGCCTCGTTTGTCAAATTCTTTTTCAAGTAATTCTCGAAATTTTTTCTTTGACTCTCTAACATTCTTCTTATATCACTTCCATTATCTGGATGAAAAGTAAGAAATTTAGCATTGTAAACTGCTATTACTCGTCTTTTTAGTGCTGGACCTAATTGTTGTTCACGAATTTTAAATTTTTTTCATAATCTCCTGTAATATTACTTAGGCGTTTAAATTCATTTTCAGCTTCTATTTATGGTGTTTGGTTTAACGATTCTTCGTTTACTATTTTTGATTTACAAGGATTTTTTCGTTTAAGATGTTTAGTAAGATCTCTTTGTTTTGCACCTTTAGCGAATATATATCCACATTTAGGACAAATAATTTGTTTAGCCATAGTAAAAATTTGAGGTATAGTATTTGGTGTTGTAATTTTATAATATACTTAATAAAAATATATATTAATATATTTATTTTAGAATTATAATTAAGTAATTGGAGAAATATACCTGTACTTTTCTTTATATTCCAGAGAAATTTGTGGGCGTACTTGTATGAAGCCTGATAGATGCTGTTATCATAAAAATACTAAACCTAGAGTACCTTGTACTGATTGTAGAAAACCTACTCATTCTATAAGTGGTCGATGTCCCGACCATATATTAGAAGATTTTATGTTATTAAATATTATCAAAAACACTTTAAAAAGAACGTTAATTTTATTTTGTTCAAAAAGGGATATCTTTTAAATATTATTTTTGTCCCAACTTTTTAGCTATTCAGAAATAATTTTTTATTGCGTAGCAATGGGGAATAGCCCCTGTCCTAATTTTCAGCTATTCAGAAATAATTTATTAGTAATTTTAAATTTAAGATAATATATCCCATTTTTTTGTCCTAATTTTTCAACAATTCACATTCAGAAACAATTTATAAGTAATTTAAGGTAAAAAAGATATACAAAAATTTGAACACCATTCCATTTGTGTTATAATATACTTTAATTATTCAGAAACAGTTTATAAGTAATTTTAAGTTAAAGAAGATATACAAATTTTTGAACACTATCAAAAAATTACGCGCAAAACATAAATTCAGCATAAGGGAATTTTTGAACACCATTTTTCACACACCTTGTTTTGGAAATGATTGAAAACGGGTGTGAAGACACACACAAATGCCAATGGGCCTTTTGTCCCAAACCCCCCACAATGGTATTATGTAATATATTTTTTTGCGTCTTCATAGTCCATTTCTTTTAGACCTGTCAGAATTTATGATATACCAATTGATGAAGAATATTTAGGAAAGCTCAATCAATCAATTGGACAAAATTGTAAAAATTTAGAATATTTGGAAATGCTTTACAAAAATGAACTACTCAATCAATCAATTGGACAAAATTGTAAAAATTTAGAATATTTGGAAATGCTTTACAAAAATGAACAAGATTAAAATTTCGGGGCACATGTAATAATTAATTAATTCACATAACTTTTTTTTCAATTTGTGAGGCTTGTAAATTGTTGTGCGTGAAAATCAAATTTGTGTCAATTTGAAATTTACCAATTAAATTTTGGGGTGGGTGTTTGAATACAAAATTCTGATTGGCTAATTTGAATTTCACGCGCGTGAATTTCAAATTGACGCAGATTCCAAATTCACGCACAACAAATATAAAATCAAAAAAAAATTTATTAGTATATATTAGTATTAGTGAGTGACAACCCCCTGTGGATCCGCAATGTCCTGCGACTGCTACAGTGCAGAAGGCCTATAATGGGAACTTAGAAAAATTGAAATATCATGTGATCCACACATCAGATTTTTAAAAAAATACCACCATTGAACTCAGCTTTAAAAAAGGAATCAATTTATGGAATAAAAATTTTTTCTCAATTTTCAATTTGTAGATCTTTCTTAATTTAGTAATTTTTTATTTACAACAGTTTATTTAAATTGCATTGTTAATTTCATCATAAACCATATCAGGAACTTGTCTATGGGATTTATATTTTTTATTTGCAAATTCAGCTATTTTTCCTGTTAGACCTTTTCTGTAAATGTCCATATAACGCCATGATTTTTATGCATACAGTACACTCTCTCTATAACGGCCCTTTCTATAACGGTCTACACTCTATAACAAACTGAGAATTGGATCCCAATTTTTTACTATATAAAATCCTTACTCTATAACGGTTTTCTTAATTAAATTTTCTATT